CATATGAACACAAGAACATAAGACAAAAGGAAACCTGATGAAGAAAAAACAAAAGAGGAAATGCTTTGGGATGAGTCTGTTCTAGGAATTTAAACTTTTAATATTGTTTACCCAAAGATGCAATGAAAAAGTCAGTTAAGAAAACTGACTTAGAAAAAAGAACATTAAATGACGAAAAAGAGAGGCAGTTACAGTCAGTGTCAGTTCAGGACAGCTTGCTGTTCTTTTATTAATGGAAATAAAGTAAACCAAAAGAATAAACAAGTCTAACTCTAGTCTCTAAGGAAGAATATAAGATGGTAAGAACACAGGAACATAAGAAAAAAGGAAACTTGTTGAATAAAAGACAGGAGAGTCATTCTTTGGGGTGAATCTGCTCTTAGATTTTGAATTTTTTGCCTTTGCTAAGTTAAGGTTGAATTAAAGAAATAAGTTGAATAGTTTGTTTCCATGAAATTCATGTTATTTGAGTTTCCTAAGCGGACAGTGACTTGAACCTCTAGAAAGAGCCAAGTGATGTAAAAGTATTCAGTATGCCTTTTTGTCAAGTTACTTTTTCTCATTTTCCTTAAAAAAAAGGAGAAATTATGTGTTTCTTACATATAATGTAATTTTCCTTAATGAAGTTGTCTCTATTTCTATTCATCAATTGTTGTGATAGTGAATTATTTACTCATGGTAGATAATCTATTTTAAGTGAAAGAATTACCAGGCATTACAGAATCCATTTTCTGTTTGGGTTTGCGTTAGTGTTGTCAGTACTTTATTGCTATTGTGTGTTTGTTTATGTTTCTTGATTTTCTCCAAGAAAAATTTATGAAGAGATTTAGACTGACTTCTTTGTTTGTTAAATCTAATTTGAAGTGTATTTTTGTATTTTATAGTGCTCAAAGTGGAAAATGAAACAGTCTATAATAATCTTAGATGATATATAGTTTTAAAAGTACTGATACAATGTCAGTCTCTATTCTGGAAATGTTTATATTATATTAAAGTGTTTTCTACATATTGTTTTATGTAAATGATCATTTCCAACCAAAGATGATTTTACTTTGAGAGTGAGAGGGGAAATAAACAGTGTGTACCTCTGGGGAGGTCACATTATAAAGCTGTAATAATTTTATTTCTTCTACATCTTGCTTAGTAGAAGCAAATATTCAGACTTGAGCTCAGTTTTAAGATAGAGAATCCGACTGACTATATATACTTAAAGCTGAAGAAGGAAGAATTTATAACTGGGAATGGGTTATGAGGGTACGTTACCTTTAAATCATTTCATCTTGCTTATTGTTTTACTCTAGTGCTCCCCTTTTTTATGATAAGCACCTCCTGCAAGCATTTGAACATCACTATAGTATAGGAGGAGTGATAGCCTGGAAATTGAAATCTCAGGATTCTGGTTTCAGTAGTACCGTCAAGTTTCTGTGTGACCTTGAGGGAATACCATGAGAATTCAATATGAAGTCATTAGGGACAGGAGAAAATAGGCTATAGTATCCCTTGATATGCTCATCCTATCAAGATGTAAATAAATTTAGATGGCGATGTATGTGCACTTAGGCAAGTCATTTAATAGTTGGCTTTCCTTAAGATTTGAATAAAATGGTAAAATTATGATTGGGTGGGTTTATATCTAGTTGAATGAATAGCCCAGAGGGGATTTAGATGGTACCCAAATGAACTTTTATTCCACAAGCCTTTTGGTATAAGATTATTTGGTGCTATATTATCACTTTCCCTGTTTTTAACACATCTGATGTACTGGAGAAAAGGGTAAAGAGGAACACCAATCAAACAAATAGATTGTCAACTAGCCACAAAAATGGCAAATTCTCTCCTCTGAACATGCCAAGAGAGCAACATTTTTTCACAAAAAGAATGTGAGCCAATTTAAATTGTGAGCATCTTTAGAATTGGTAAGTTCTTCTGCAGAAGTCCATTTTGTGATTAAATCTGGGGGATGGGAATTCAAAACTATATGTCGTAAGAATATTCACTAAGATACCAAGTTACTGTGATCTTTTCAAAATAACTTAAATAGATAAAAATTCATTAAAATTAGCCACACAATTTGAATCAATACTGGGTAAGTCATACAAATTTTAAACAGTAAAATCACTTAAATTGGATGGCATGGCATATTGGGGGAGGGATAAGGATGTGGTGTTGACTACATTACTGAGAGGGTCACCAGTGAATTGCTCTAGAAAATGGTTTTCAGAAACTTTAGGACAAAAATACACTTAGTGTTATGCCACCATAAAATACATTTTCTGTTAACCAGGAAGTGTTGTTTCCTGGTTAAAGCTGGGTAAAAGGACGTGTGCCCAACTTTGACACATTTGCTTTGCTCCCAACTTCTACATCTGAGCACTTGGCGGTAAGAGTGTAAGTCGAGACATACACAGGATCCCAAATGAGCTCTACTTCTGGAGTTAAGTGCTGAATCTAGTAAGATGAAATTTAATGAATAAGTATTAAATCCTGCATTTGCCTATGGGAGACACTACAAAAAACATATGTGAGGAGACATAGTTTAAGATATTACACGTGGAAAAGTGTTGGGATTTTTATTACATGCTTGGTTTAAAGAAGTAGTATGCTCATCCAGACCTAAGGTCACATATGCTCTAAGGCAAATTATTGAAGGTGCTGTTCAGACAAGTAAATGACTAGCCTGTAGCTTCATAGGTATATCCTCAATTGAATAGAAGGTAGACAAAGGCAAATCTGGCTGAATTTGGAAAATGATTTTCAATACTTGGAGCTATGTAAAAAGTTGAATTGACTACCTTGTCATGGAAATAAGAAATGACTGTCAGCATTGAGGCAAGAAAGCGCCTGAGAAAAATATGAGGACATAAGCTCTATTCCACAAACAGCTCACACTCACAGAGAAATTGAACCAATAAATAGGAAATTGCAACATAAATTTAATAAAGACTCCAGTAGGAGTGATGATGGATGCTGTGGGTAGCAAGGGTAACAAGCTGAAAGGGATGGGAAGTGGGCATTCAGGAAAGGTTTCTCAAAGAACGTGACATCTAAAATGGACTTTTTTTTTCCTTCTCAATTCAAAGACTATTTCTTTGATATATCCGCTCAACTATCTTTTAGGTACTTCAAACTTAATATAGCCAACTAGGGTGCCTATTTCTGCCATTACCAGCCATTCATCTCCCAGTTCTTTTTTTCCATTTCTGTAAAATCTTCATCCAGTTCCTTAACCAAACACCATTTGGGCACATCTTCATTCCTACATTAGACCACAAGCAATTCCCTTTGATCATCTCACCGAAGTATTTCTCTTAATGTCCAGTTCTTTTCATCGTCACTGCCACCACTCTAATCTGAAACAGTATTATTTTTTGATCAAACTGCAAAACTGTGTTTGAAAGTAACTGAAACATTGGGCAAAGTTGCCAAGTTCTGAATTACAGGTGAGCAGGAAAAACTGCACAAAGTCAGCAACAGATCGGAGTGCTGTGGTGAACTAAGCCCTTAGGGATTTCAGACTAGCAAGCATATAGTTTCCACTAGAACAACAAAATGAAAAATGCTGGTTTCAGAAATCAAATTGAGTGAACACATTTGTGGGGAAGGAGATGGAGCAAGAATCCAGAGAAAGCTGATCCTAGGCAGTATTATGACAGGAAAATACACTTCTAAAGGAAAAGAATAACACCTTGGAAGTCAAGACCTGTGGCATGTAAACACAGGAGAAAAACAGACACAAAGCAAATGGAAACTCTACCCTTAGTATTTGAAAAAAAAAGAAAACAAGTTGAAAGAAAACATTTAGAGCTTTGAAACAGCATAAATCAAAAAGAGCACCCAGAAATATGTTTTCTTCAGACTCACACGAAATGAAGTCAACAACACTTACCTGTACCCAAAGCTTAGTCTTCTTTCTTTAATGTCGTTTTAGGTTGAATGCTGTTTTCTTTGCATAAAGTAATGTTGAATCAGAGCATTGTTTAACATGGAACACTGCGGATATGTACCTAATCAGAATGTTAGGAACATTTACCACATGTAGAGATATCCATTGAAATTGGAAGTGAGTAAATTTTTTAAAGTCTGTCTTCAAGATGATCAATACAAATGCTTATTTTAATTGCCCATAGCTTAGTCTTTTGAAGTAATTGCTACAATAAGGCAACGACTATGATTTTAGGAAGGACCTGCTTTGTTGCCACGTATTAATTTACATATTATGTTTAACGTATCAGAAAACACCCATAAAATTAGCACACTAGAGAAGAAGTGGGGGCAGGTGAAGCCCAAGTTGTGTATTGAGAAAAGTCACTTGGAGGCACAACTATCACTGGGGAAGCCAGGAATATGGGCAACCTCAGATCGCAGGGTGTTGTGAAGAGGATGGTCTCCTGAAACACGCAGATCAGGAGACCCTGCTGTCATTGTACCCAGCTTGTGAGCATTGTGAATTCCTAAAGCTGTGGTCACGCGGATGCTGCCATCATGTGGGTGCTATAGTTACATGGCAGGCCCGGAGCTACTGGTCACATCTGCACCTGAGTTCCTGTGGTCTCTCTGGATCTGTTGCCACTACAGTCATGAGGTAGATCTAGCTCTTCAAGCCACTAGAGCACCGTGGACTCCTAAAAACCTTGCCCACCATGTGTATTCCCCCTGTCGTGTGGCCCTTACTACTTAGTGGCATGTGGAAGCTCCAGCCCACAAAATTACATAAATGAATGGCTTCTTAGAGTTGTGTGGATACTACGGTCACGTATGCCGCTATGATCACATGTCCGGTTCAGCCACCTTGATCATGTAAAGACTGAGGACTATGGGAGTAAAGATTGAAGACTACGGCAGGCTGCCGATTCTTAAGCCAGCAGTTTCGAGGCTCCTACTATCACTGGACAGGCAAAGCTCTGGCAGTTACGTGAGCACTGCCACTACCCAATCACTGTGGGTCATGTATAACCCAATCACTGTGGGTCATGTATATCCCTACGGTCTTGTACCGCGCTATGATCGCGTACAGCACTGTGATCACGCGAGACTCAGTTCTCAGTCACAGGAAGATTGAGGGCTCTTCAAACCTGCATCTTTCCATCTTGGAGCCTCTGTCGAGAGGTCTTGGGAGTCAGGTAGGGCTCCACAGCTGCATGCTACATGGGTCTTGCAGCCATGTTACGCCCTGTGGCCATGTCTGCCACTGAAGTGTGTGGTAACTCCAAAACTGTAGCTCGGCTTAGCTTTCTGGGGAGTCTCACCTGTAGGTTCAGAAGACTGTGAAAATTGTAGTCTGTGCCCTGGCTCGGGAAATTTTGACGAGACTGGCTCAAACACTAACCTTCCCACCCATTTACATCCTGCCTGGGTGAGCGCTGGGTGGTACTGGGTAGGAGGGGCACCATTTAGGTAAGAGGACTGGGAGTCCCTAGCACAAGTTTTCTGAGAGAATTGGCCGTGGCACAGGGCAGCGCGGCAGGGGTTTGTGGGCTTCTCTCAGTGCCCAGGCTCGAGAAACCGGGTAAGACCCGCGCCTTGCCTCCCCTCCCTGTCCCCACATCAAAGTCCTGCTCTTGTTTTCACCCTCCCATATTCACTGTCTGTACTGTGTGATGGCTCTGCCCTTCTCTGTTCATGTGTTCTTAAGGACGCCAGTGACCTCTTAGATGCCACTTTGTATACAGGATTACAAATCTGATTTCCGTGTCTGTCCCTTATTTGCTACCAAAGAGAAAGAGAGAAATAATTTTCAAAGGAATTTGATTGTTTTCAGTAAAAGTGTGAAAGAAGCATCATGCAAAGTTTCAGAATTTATTTATAATATTTTCTTTGGTGCTTAGCAGTTTCTTTTTGTATCATTATTTTTTAAATCCTCACCTGAGGATATGTTTATTGATTTTGGAGAAAGAGGAAGGGAGAGCGGGAGAGGAGAGGGAGGGGAAACAGCGATATGAGAGAGAAACATCCATCAGTTGCCTCTCCCCCTCCCCCCGCCCGAGCGAACTCCAGCGAGTGAACCCCACAGCCTAAGTGTGTGCCCTGACTGGGATCGAACCCGCGATCTTGGTGTACCAGTCCATGCTCCAGTGTATGGCAGGACGCTCTGACCAACTGAGCCACCAAGCCAGGACTCAGTAGTTTCTTTAAACTGCATGTGGGGTGGGATGCCTCAATCTTTCTGTGCTTGGGGTCCCTAAAGAGTTTAAACCATTCCAACCAAACACTCCTAGGTTTTGATTTTCTAACCATTGCTTCTTAGACCCCTTGAAAACTCCCTGCTTTTCTTCATGTGGAAAACAATAGACAATGCATTTAAGAAAAACATGTTAAGTAAAATCAGGAGGGGTATTGTTCATAAAAATCATGTAGATGCTATGGAGTCAGCGCAATTCAGGAAATAAAGGACTGTGTTTACATCGTGGGCAATTTACATATTATTTGATGGATGGTTAAAGAATATTATTACTTTTGCTCTTATTTTTATTATATTATATCCACCTTATTTTTCTCTCAGTTCAGCACTTCCAAGTTTGTTCAGCGACACAATATGTCCGATAGACAGCAACAACAAAAATGTGATCTTCCATTAAAGGAATCTGGGACATACAGAAATGAAGGTAAAAGGATTTCCATACTGTAACGTTTCTTAAGGTAATATGCTAATATGCAACTTGAATCTCAAAGGGATGGGTAGTGTTTTAGTTGGTCCAGGCTCCTACAAGGGGACACCCTGGACTGGGTCGCCTATAAACAACACAAGTTTATTTCTAGCAGTTCTGGAGACTGAGAAGTCCAAAATCAAGGCACTGGCAGGGTCGGTGTCTGGTGAGAGCCCATTTCCTGGTTCACAAGTGGCTGTCTTCTCCCTGTGTCCTCACCTGGCAGAAAGGCCAAAGGGGCTCTCTGGGTCTCTTTTATAAGGACAATAATCCCATAGGTGAGGGCACTTCCCCCGTGACCTGATCACTTCCCAAAGGCCGCGTCTTCAGGTATCATCAAGTTAGGGGTGTGAAGTTGAAACATAAACATTCAGTCTAAAGCAGCTAGTTTCCTCAACTTATATGGGAATGGAACTTTTTTCCCCACAGACTATTTGAGGTACTACTGTGTTTTAGAAAACGTTTTAGGGTAGACCTTGTTCAACCTAATCTTCTTCTAGCACATTAATACTTTGTACCTATGTAAAATAAGAGCAAAAAACAATGAAATTGATAACAGATATGAAAGAGTTGGAGAAAGTGCTAGATGTTAGTGCTTTCAAAATGTAAGAACACAAACCTCTAGTATAGTGGGTTGAGAAAATTAGGAGGCACAGATCAGCAGCCACTTGTGAGTGGAAATGGTATCATATCATGCTTGCACTTACAGCAAAGCTATAAAAGATAAGACAGGTGCATAATTTGAAATTTTATATGGATGAATTCCAGGGAAAAAAACCCTTTGATATTGAAGCAATATTCTTGACAAACAGTGAGAAGACATAATCACTGGTCCATCTTAAATAGGTATAGAAATGTGAAAAGTAGAAATAAGACAATAGCAAACTAAATGCGGCAATGGCGCAAAACACATAATACGGCATGACAAAGTTGTGTTTATCCTACATTTGCAATGCTGGTTTAACATTAGGAGGTGCACCATGTAACTTAATACATTAATAAGAAAAAGGACTAAGAATAGGGTGATTATCACAAAGATTCTGGAGAAAAACCAGGCATACAATAAAATTCAACAACCCATGGAAATTAAACATGAACACCAATAACTCAGCTAACCAAGAATACAAAAATACTTGTAAAAACTGATAACAGGTATGTAAAAAATTTATAATGAACACCATACATAACAGTGAAACATCCAAAGCACTTCATTTGAAGACAGAATTGGCAAAAATGACTCATAAATAACCGCTTTTGTTCAAGATCTAAGCTGAGACTCCTGGGCATTGCAGTAAGGCAAGAAAAAATACACACATAATTACATAGTTAATAATGGTGTAAATATGAAGAGAAGCAACACTCTAAATATAATTGCCTTTGTATAAGACTGAAGAAAATCTACCAAACTATGGTAATAGCGATTTGGATGTAAGACTAATATTTCCAAAATAATTGCAACAAATAAAAAAATAACATTTTCATTGTGAACAGTTTCATTTACAGTCTTACAAATTTGGCTCCGTGAAATATACAGTGAATTGGCTAATTTGGAAAGTACTGCAACGCTTGTAAATACTCATGTACTTTGCTGTACTGTGGAGACCAAAAAGCTTAAAACAAAAGTAGAGACTTATGTGAGTCACTGAGTGAGTGTGTGCATGTGCGTGCTAGAACCCCTTGCATACAGGCTCCCCAAACAGTTCTCCACGTATCAAGCATACCATCCTGAGACTTGGAGGTGTAACTGAATGACATGGGAGGCACATATAGGTCAATGATGTGGTCAGCTATGTATGATGAAGGAGGTGTCTGTGTTTTATGGAACAACCACAGCAGATTTTGTGGAATTCAGGCTCTGTCATACATGTCAAGTAGCAGGCAGACAGCAGTGGTGTTTCTGGTACATATAGAGGTCTCATAGCATGAATGAGCTTCTCCTGGCTGTGTGGCATCTAAGCCCACTTTCCAGGCCCTCACAGAGGTTTTGTAGGCTATGTAATAAATGTCATTAAAGATGTCTTACTTTAAATTTTTTTTTAAAGATTTTATTTATCTTTGGAGAGAGGGCAAGGGAGGGAGAAAGAGAGGGAGAGAAACATCAATGTGTGGTTGCCTCTTGCTCGCCCCCCCATCCGAGCACCTGGCCAGCAACCATGCATGTGTCCCGACCGGGGAATCGAACCAGCAGCCCTTTGGTTCGCAGACCGGCACTCAATCCACTGAGCCACACCAGCCAGGGCAGATGCCTTATTTTTATGAAATACTTAGAATGAACTCTAAAGTCATAGGTAGAGTACTTGACCTTAAAATGGGTTGCAACTGAAGGGCCCGAGAGGAAATGGGGATTTCAAATAGGTTATCTGACCTAGGAAGATGTGAAGATAGAAAAGATCCAGTTGATGTTGGATGATTCTTTGGCGTCCCAAAGCATGCAGTGGTAAAACAGCTGCAAAAGTTATCACTTGCAGTAATCTGCATTGAAATGCATTTAAGGCCAGCATGTTGGTGGACCAAGGAGCTGCTGTTAAGGACTCAGAGGACACTCCTTTCCCCGACAGCATTGAGAAACATATTGGAAGGACATCTTCATCTCTGAAGTATTCTGAAGTGGATGACTTGTGTAAGCTACAGAGGAGATGGGATGGTAGATACTGCCATTGACACAGTCCCCTTATCTCAGTGGAGATATTGGAATCCTAGAGACACAGGCTAAGTGGAAGCACTTAACCTCGCAGGTAACATGTTTTGATGTACAGGAACCTTTGAAGGTGGCTTATTGGTCAACGGGTACCTTGGATCTTGAAAAATCTGAGCAGTCTCAAAAGTCTGATTAGTGGAAAAGAAATGCAATATAAATATTTATTTGAAATAAACACAGAAGAGCTTAATATAAATAAATGAAATTCTGGATCTGGTGACTTCAGCCAGCTTGATGTCTAATGATGGTCCCTTACTCAGTTCCCACACCTGACCCTGACCCTGACCATGAAAGATTGCTGAGGAAAGACCCTACATTGAAACAATTAACTGTAATAAATTTCCCTGGGCTTCGCTAAAGGGACCTCCAACCGTTCACTCAAGGTACTGTGCACTTGCTTTAGGGACACTTGCTCTAAACCAGAGCTGAAGAAACTTCTTCTGGAAAGGGCCAGAGCATAAATATTTGAGGCTGTGCGGGCTGTTTGGTCTCTGTTGTCACCATTCAACTCTGCTAGTGTAAGGTGAAAGCCACCATAGAAACAGTATGGCTGTGTTGCAGTAAACCTTTATGTATGGGTGCTGATGTGTGAATTTCAAAGAACCTTTATGTGTCAAGAAATATTATTCTTTTGATTTTCAACAATTCAAATATGAAAAAAACATGCCCAACTTACAGGCTCCACAAAACAGGCCACAGGCTAAGTTCGGCCCATAGGCCATAGTTTACCAGTCCCTGATCCAAGCTACTGGAATCACTAGCACCTCAAACACTGAGTGGACAGTCAGCAAAATGAGGTGGCAGTCATTCCTAGGATCTTCTGGCATGCATAAACCAAAAGTTGGTATTTTACCGCAGTGGTTTTCAACATTGGTTGCACACTGAAGTCACGTGAAAGGTTTAAAAAATATGGTGGTCTGGGTCTGACCCCAATTCTCTTTGATTGTTATGGGTGTTGCTAAATGCTAGTGGCTATTTCAGTCTCCCCAAGTTACTCTAGTGTGTAAACAAGGTTGAATATTGCCAAAACAATTTAAGGGTTGAGAGTGCAAACATTTTACAGTGTTAAATTTGTAATTTTTATACTCGTGGTTTTGGAATAATGAATAACTTCTAATAATGAATACATATCATATGTTAATAATAAATAAATAACTGTAGTAGGAAACATGAAAGAATAATTCCCATGCAAGGAAGAGAGAATAATCTGTCTATAAAACAGAAAGGACATGGGAAGACACAATGGTAAGCAGGGGCCACCAGTGGAAGGGCCAGGGTGGAAGCTAATCCACTGGTGAGACCAGAGCCAAGGGATGGATTAAACCCAAGCCACCCACAAGCCCAGGGCTACTGGGCAGTGAAGCCTCCCCTGCAGGAGAGAGTCATAGCCCAGGGTAAGCAAGGAAGGGACAGAGCAAACTCAACAAATCAAATGATTTTCACTGAGGGAATAGACTGATAGAAAAGGCTGGTAAGGGTCTTCAGATAATATTTCCCTAGAGAGATAAAGGAGTGACAGAGGAAGAGGTCATATCCATTGCAAACAAGTAGAAGACTATTCAGGAAAGATGGCTTGTTGAACACAAAGATCTACTTTCACTTCTTCCTGAAACCTCATTAAGGCAACATCAAAGGTGAGCAGATACATACAAGGGGATCTCACTCAGCAGCCAGAAATCCAAGAACACGGATGCAGCTTGAGAAATTATGCTGATTTAAAGAAGCTAGACACGAAGGCCTATGAAATGCATGGTCCTAGTCACATGAAATTCTTGAGCAGACAAAAGTAATATATGGTGACAGAAAGCAGATCAAGGTTTAAATAGACCTGGGAGATAAAGAGGAAATTAATTGGGAACATTTTGGAGTGTGGCATATGCTTTATACCTTTATTACGATGGTGGTGAGCCTTAATAGGTGATTTTCACCTATAAGTAATTTGGGAACAAGGAAAGTTGGCTGCATCGTTCAAAGTGGAAGGTACTAGCTGCTTTATAATGGCCCTGTTACCACTTTTGATTCTGGCAGCAAGACTGTGAAACAGAGATTGTGCTGAGATGCAAATATTCAATAAGTGGATGTCTGTATGTGTGTATGGGTGTCTGTGTGTGGGTGTGTGTGGTAGTATCCCTCTGTGGCTTTTATCACAAATCCACTCTCCTGAGAGATTCCCAAAACAAGGCCATGACTGAGGTGCCTTGTATATGAAGCACCTTGATGAGGGAAGCCTTGGCCCCTGTTCAGGCACTGTAATCACTTGGTTGGTCTGAAAAGTGCTGCAGCTGTTAGCAAACTCACTTTTTTACTTTTTCCTCGGCAACGTTATTGCTGAAGTAATGTCAGTTCTCAAAAATTACTCTAGCTCTTCCTGTAAACCATGTGTTCACTCCTTACCCTTACTGCTCCCTTTTAATATTTTATTTTTTTTTACTTGTATTTGATTTTCATGGACATGGTTTGATTTCCTGGCATTCACCAACACTTCCAAATAAGGTGCCACTTTGGTGTGGTTATTGTTGTTTACTGGTGTTACGAACTCATGACTTTTTAACATGCTCGTGGGCTTCAAACGATTTTATTGCATGTTTGAGCAGAGTGAAGTGTGTAGACCTGTGCTCTGCTGTTGGATTGAAAACCACCAGTGAGGGGGCAGGGATGAAACCAGAGGACTAGATGGAATGCCATATAGATGTTGGTATCTTGTGCAGAGCACGTAGTAATGGAGGTAGTGAGAAGTGGCTAGATTCTGGATAGACTTTCGGAGCGGGGCCTAGAGAATGTCCTGATTGCTGGGTTGTGCAGTGTCAGAGAAAGAGAGCACTCAAGTGTCCTCCAAGTTTTGGGAACTAAGCAAGTGGTATTCATGGGTAAAATGCTCTACCCATGTTCAATTTCACTTCCAGTGCCACACACATGGAAGGTCTCAAGGCCTGTGACTTTTAAGATTGTCCTGACAGTGGGCCACACAGTGAGAGCAATGACTCTCTGGAAGCATTAACCTGAGGCCTGGTTGTCATCAGCACATTGCTGAATGATCAGCCATGATCAGAATTTTACTCACGAGTGGCCCTGAGGAAACATGGGGTAATTGATGTACAAATGTGCAACACACAAACCTAGAGCGCCTTAAATATGAGACCCCAAAGGAAGCTGGCTTCTAACAGTCTAATTTCTGTAATTTTCCTGCCCACTCAAAGCACTGGTGTTGTTGTTTGCTGGTGCACTGTTTCAAGTGCATGTGGTAAAGATAAAATACCATTAGTGAATCCACATATGGGATAGAGAATCGAGACTACCTCGTTTATGTAGATGGAAACAAAAAGCCAACTCCCTCCATGTGGAGAACTAACATACATTGTTGGGAGTGTTTGTGGAGGTGAGGGGTGGACAGCAACACAACTCCTAGGAGAGAGCACAGAGTGCAGCATTACCAAGACACTTTAGGAGCATACTTGTGGTTACAATCTCCCATAGGGTAGATGTCAGGGCTGAAAATTTTAAGAGATGAGAAGCATGATATGGAGATAAAAGAATGACTCAACCAGGGAGACATCCTGATCCTAAGGATGTACACTACTAACAATATGGCCAAAAACTACATAAAGCTAAAACTGATGGTGTTGAAAGGAGAAGTAGCAAAGTCCAAAATGACAGTTGGGGTCTTCAGCAGCCACTCTCAGCAAGAGACAAAATTGCTAGAGGGAAAATGAACAAGGATGGAAGAGATTCGAATAATGCAGTAAACTAACAGGATCCAGCTGACAAATAGAACACTCCACCCAACAGCGGCAGCATACAGTGTTTTTCGTGTGTCTGTAACATTCATCAAGACAGGCCATGACCTGGGCACCTAAACAAACCCCCACACGTTTAAAAAATGAAATTACAGCCTGGCTGGCGTAGCTCAGTGGATTGAGTGTGGCCTGGGAACCAAAGTGTCCCAGGTTCGATTCCCAGCCAGGGTACATTCCTGGGTTGCAGGCCAGAACCCCCAGCAACTGCACATTGATGTTTGTCTCTCCCTCTCTCTCTCTCTCTCTCTCTCTCTCTCTCTCTCTCTCTCTCTCTCTCTCTCTCCCCCTCCCTCCCTCCCTCCCTCCCTCCATCCCTTCCCTCTCTAAAAATAAATAAATAAAATCTTTAAAGAAATCTCTATGGTTTTAAAAAAAATGAAATTACATGCAGGATGTTCTCTGTCCATAAAGGGATCAAATTGGAAATCAATAACAGAAAGAGAAAGGAGGAACCTGTAGAGATTGGGAAATAGTACTTGAAACACCATTCCAGTTTCCATGTTATAGAAGAGCTGAGATTAGAAAGAGTTGTTGCCTGGTCTCAAAAGCATTTCAGACTGGACGAAGAGAAAGCTTTCTCTGGATATTTCAAATAGAGTACTGTTCGGACCGAGGTTGGAGGGAGGGGGACAGTTTAGGAGGCTGCTACCTGTGTTGCACCTGACACTAAAGCTTGTACTGCACCAGCAAAGGAAGCACAGCTTGCTGAGTGTTAGTGGAATCAGTTTAGTGGCTCATTGAGTTTGAGAAGCATGAGAGAGATGGCCTCCCATGTATTGCTGAGGTAGTTAGAGAGCCCTGAGAGAGGCAAGATTCACATGGCTTTCTGATGTATGGCTGGTGTCCAGTCTATGCAACCCTTGGAGGCATACACCTCTGTTCTTTATACACCCTGCTCCATTTTTAAAAAGTTTCAACACAGTTTCCTCCTCCTCTTCCCCTCTCCCCTCCTCCTCTTCATCCTGCTCTTCCTGCTTCATCCTGCAGGATTTGTCCCTGGCTAGCATCACCTGTCAGAAAAGGCTCTCCTATGTGAGCAGGCAGAGGAGTTTCCTTTCTGGGGTTTGAGGGACTGGTCCCTTAGGGAAGATTGGAACTTTGCCCTACTATGCTGATAGCCTAAGAAATGGTACATGGCAAGCAGGAAGAGGCATGTCTCCAAACTTGCACTTGTTTTCCTTGTTTCAGAAGACAATGATACTGGTAGACCACTCCAAGGAAGAAAGCAAGGTTGGAGTCCTTTCGAGGTGATTTTGGCAAGAGGAACCCTCATTGTCCGCATGGTGGATATGAGCTTCAGCCTTCACACATCCAGAAGGATGGTGGAAATGTTGACAGGAGGGGTGTCCTGAAGTACCAAGTAAGACAGTAAGTGACCAGGCAGCCTGGTTTGCATGTAGCAGCCCTTGGGACCATGCAGTTCTTTCACTGTCAATGTTTTTTTTTTATTATCTCACTGGCAAACTGAGGAGTGCTAGAGGTTAAATCATGATTCACCAATTGCAGTCTTGATGTCAGAGAAGGAAGAGTGTATAGAAGATTTTCTTATCATTTATGGCCACCCTTCTCCTCCACTCCTTCTCCACAGTACTCCCTATTCTATGAGATACGACAAGTGGAGAGTGAAATGGCATAATGAAGGCCAAATCCGTGTCACTCTGTGGAGCAATAGAAAGCATCTCAAGAGAGAGATGGTGGAGGACAAACAAGATGGAACCCAGTCTAGTTGGTTCAAGATCACAGTGAGTATCCTGGAATAATGTATGGAGTGTGCTGGAGGGAAAGGTCAGGCGAACCTCTGTTGGTCTCATGTAGAGATAGTACTCTGCTGGGGACAGTTTACAATCTTCCCTTTTTATTACTAGGACTTAACATTCTTTACTCATCTAAGGGCACATTCAGAGAAGCAATAAAAGGAAACAGGCTGACTGTAAGGAAAATGGAGGAGGCTGTCTAAAGGCAAAAGTGGAACTACTGCCATGGAAATGGAGCAAGTTCATACTGGATGTCTCTGTGTGTCTCACACTGAGTGTGGGAGATGGGGCGCTGAGTCTCTGGAAAGCTTGTCAGAGGGTCGAGCAGTGTCCTAGATAGGATCACCTGGAACTTTATAAAAGAAGGAAAATGTCTAACATTTTAAGTTGATTATGGGGAGGAGAGCTTTGAATGGTGAGGTAATGGTTGTAAGAACCCCAATTTGGCAGAAACATAAGAAATCGTGCCACTGATCTCTTCTTTAAGAGCCCTTTAAAGCTGAGTAGCAGTTTGGAAAAGTGCTGTGTCAGGTCTGTTCTCCAGCCTTATCCCACATTGTTTCTCCTGTCTCTGTGCCCTTCTTTTGACCCTTAGATTCCCTTTGGAAAAAAGTGTGACAAGACCTGGCTAATGAATTCAATCCAGAGCCATTGCAGTGTCCCCTTCACTCCAGTGGACGTAAGACAGGATGGTGAAGCCAGATGAGGGGGCACACAGGGAATGCGGAGAGGCCTAGCTCAGCTGTGGCCATGAGCCCCTGACACTGTTGTCATTGCTTGAATCCCTGTAGTTCCACTACACACAGCACAGGGTTCAGAGCTACAAGATTTGTGATGAGGAAAACAAAAAGGTGTGTGTTGAGGGCATTGTCTGTACTTAGTTTGAGAAAGGAAAACACGAAGGGCTGGTCCTTGTCTTTGGAACTTGATTTCCCAGTGCTTACCCTTCCTCTTCTCCCTGCAGATACCTATCTTTGTAGATACTTCTGCTGTACCTTACTCTGTGCGGGATAAGTTGGCACCAGAAAAAACGACACAACTAAAGGTAACACAGTCTCAAGGGTACATGTTAGCCCCAGACCCAGCAGTTCGACCTCACAACCCTGATTTCCCTGTCACCACCACATCAGAGCTCAGTCTCCATCTCTCTGTGCAGCTGACCATGAGCAAAAGATATGATGTCTCCCAGAAAGCTCTTGATCTCCAGAGTCTATGCTATGACCCAGGTACGGTTGACAGCAGAAATTTTGGGGCAGGTGAGGACAGAGGTTACTGCTTGGGAGCGAGCCTTAGGGATGGTTATGAGGGAAGGTTTGGTTCTTGTCCTGGCCACCTCTCAACCTTCTCATTCTCCACTCTGGATTTCCTGAAGACTTGGTGCACCATGATATTGATATAATACTGAATCACAGAAACTGCATGACTGCCACTCTGCAGATCATCAAAATGAGTTTCCCTGAGGTGAGGCCATGGGTCCAGTCCTGGTGTTATGGTTGGGGGTGGAACAGGTGGGACAGAGAGCAGTTTTGCCTCCCAAGTCCCAGATAGTAACCATCACTCTAACTCTTCTTTCCCAAAGCTGTTGTCCTTGAACTTGCACAACAACAGACTGTTTCAGCTGGATGGCCTATCTGATATTACACAGATGGTCCCCACAATCAGGATCCTGAACCTGTCCAAAAATGAGGTGAGAGAGGGACAGATCAAAGAGTGGTTGAGGGTAGTGGGTAGTGGTTATGAGAGTGCTGATGGTGGTCAGACACAGGAACCTGTGGGTAAAGGAGGGGGCTGTGGGTTCAGGGGCTTGGATGTCCCTCTTTCCCTGGGACCATTTTTTAATTTCCTCCACGCATTGTGCAACTTAACTCCACCTGGGAGTTGGGGAAGATCAAAGGCCTGAAGCTCGAAGAGCTGTGGCTGGAAGGGAATCCCTTGTGTGACACCTTCCCAGACCAATCCACCTACAAAAGATCAGTGTGAAGCCCTGTCAGCCCTCCTGGACACCTTTGATCCCTGGGAACCCTGTCACAGAAGTTGGCACCCTGGGTCTTTGAGAGAACCACAAACTCCACCTTCTCTTTTCTGTGTCCCTTACCTATGTGTAAAGGTCTCTCATCCTTCCTCTGACCTGCTCACCTGTTCCCCATGTCTGGCGTCTGGTTCCTGACTCTGCATCTAGTTTTCTCTAGGGGTCTGGTTTCTTTCTCTCCATCTACGTTTCTCTAGCCTGCCAACCTAAAGGTATGCTCTAGAATGCAGGGCTCCCCCTAGTCACCAGGATTGAGTGTTGAGGCTCAAGGCAGATACTGTGGCCTGGACTAGGAAATATCTTCCACCTCAGAGTCAGACTCAGATAGGCCTTCCTGCTTCTGAGATGACATAGAGGATCCCTATCCTATTCTGGGAGGAACCTTCTTTCCCATGCTTCAAAAGCTGTGTCCCCTCCAATCCCAGGCTGACATGGCAACTTTCCCACCCCATGCCAAGGGCCCAGTACTTGGGTGGCTGTCATCATGACAACCCTTGTTTTACTACAATGCCAGGGGATGGGGCATCCTTGGGAAAATCCAGGGTTTCCTGAGTCAGGGTCAGAAGTGAGCCAGCACCAGTGAGCAAAGGGCCTCCTGAGGCAGCAATGGAAGGCAGAGGGCATAGGGGGTTGAGGAGACAGAAGACAATCCTATTAGGGGCACTGCCCCTCACTCCACTCATGACACACCTGCCTTGTCCTTCAGAGGAGCCCTGGATACTCCACACAGGTAGGATTCCTCGGGCAAGGAACCAACTAGGACCGGCACAGATGCTCAGGAACCATAAGGAGAGAAGGTGGTGATCATAAGAGGGGATCAGAGACCCCCAAGCCCATGCTGAGCTGGGGTCTGGCCTTTCCTCCTTCTAGGAGAGGTCACCTGACCCCATGGCTGCTGCATTTCCAACTCTCAGTTTGGACTGAGCTCCTACAGTTGACAAAGCCTCAACCAGCATCCCATGGCCCTTAGACCACCAAGTGCATGATTTCCATTCTTACCTGGAGACTCAGGGCCATCCAAGAACAGATGAAGGAAAGGGCTGTTGTAGGGGTGTCCTGTTCCCTTTTTCTTTCTCCTTATTTGGCCCCCATCCTCCACTCAGGGCCACACATCTTTCCCTTCACTTTTTCCCCTTTTTCTTTTTTCCCCACTCCCCTATGTCTTCCCGATCTCCTTTTCTATCTTCGTTTCCTTCCCCTTTCCCCTTCCTGCTTCCTTATCCCTCCCTTGCTCACCTCCTTGCCCCAACATTTTGGACCATGCATGGGGTTGGCCCTGGTCCTGGTAGGATGCAGGGCCCCCAGTGAGGTAGCAGAGCTTTGGGCTCCCACCCCCTACCGCTTCTCTGGAGCCCTTACTGGGGAGCAGGAGGAACACAGGGATGCAGAGAAGGTTAAGAAGCCTTGGAGTCTGGGTCTAAATGCTGTGTCTTAAAGCACTGGAAAAAGGAATCATGGCCCTCTGGACAGGAGCTAACTAGCAGGATGCAGAGGGCTTGAGAGAGAGGGAGGGCAGGATGGAAAACTTGATGGAGGGTGGGAGGAAATATAAATCTGAAGGTGTGGAAAGAGATGAGGAGACTCTGTGTTTCTGAGATTCCATATGGCAAATGGCCAGTGCTCAGCAGGCAATGGACCCAGATTCCTTGAGTTCAGAGGCCGACGAGGGGGCCGCTATGTGGGGAGAACACCTGTCTCTGTTCATGTCATCAGTGTTTTCACTAAATGGAAGCATTGCAACCCAAACTTTTAACCACTTCTTTCTGTTTTTGGATTTGGACAGTGCCATCAGGAAATGTTTCCCCAAGTTGTTACGCTTGGTAAGTGCCTTAATTCATCATCTCTACTCACAATGACGACCTGCACACCTGCACTCAAGCACTTTGAGTCTTGCCTAAATTACACGTTTGCTTCAGATCCTTATGCATTTTGGGGTACATGGACTTCTGTAAAAGATATGAATATGGTCTCTGTGGAAATGTACACAGACACAGAGTGAGACAAGAAGAAAGGGAGGGAGGGAAGGAGGTGGGGAGGAAGAGAGGGAGGAACAGAGACACACACAGACAGAAACACATACACAGCCACACACACACAAAAGTTGCATAGAACAGTAGAGACTTCCAGGACCTCATGATGCAGATACCCACTGTAATATTTCCCATTAAATTTCTAAGTTCTTTTCATTCCTGACTTCTGTCCTTCACTATCCCATGAACCCATCCATTCCCCTAATTATTGAGGACAAGTTTCCTTTGTCTACACAGTCAACTTCCTCTTCCCTTCTCCAGGATGGCCAGGATTTAACCCCACCAATTACTGCTGACATTGCCAAGCCCAACTTAAAGCCTTACAAAGTGAGGGAGAAAGGTCAACATTTGGGGTATTTATTGCAAGGGAGGCTTTATCAGCCACATTGCCTCAAATGTCTTTCATTGCAGGAAAGCTATAAAGGACCTGATGTTGTGAAGAGCCTGATGCTGCAATTCCTCCAGCAGTGAGTACCCTGGGACCCACCAGGAATGAGAGATGGCTGGGACACACTGGGCCAACAAGCACAAGACTGCTCATGGGAGTCTTCAAGTCCCATTTGAGGTCCAGACCATGGAGATATACTGTCTTCAGTGTCCCCTCACAGATATTACTTGATCTATGACTCTGGAGACAGACAGAGTCTCCTTGGTGCTTATCACGATGAGGCCTGTTTCTCCTTAACCATTCCCTTCAACCCGAATGATCCAGATCCGTGAGTATCACAGCTTGGACTCTGCTCCTGGGCTGTGTGTCTCCCAAGCAGACACAGGCCAGCTTGTAGCAACACCCACACTGGCCAGACTACCACATCCTGGTCTTTTCTTTGTTTTGTGTCTCCAGGAAGCAGCTTGTTTGAGTACTTCAAAAATAACAGGAATATGAAGAACCTCAAGGACCCCAGTGTGTGTAGGATGGGGAAGATTGGGCAGCCAAAGGGGTCATGAAGGGGCCAGTCATAGATCCCTGGGTGTGGCAGCCTTGACCTTTGCAGTCCTTCCCCCACAGACCTGCGCTTTCAACTGCTGAAACATACAAAACGTGATGTTGTGTGCTCCCTCTGTGTGTTGCCCAAAACTCAGAATGACTTCAGCTCCTTCATCTTGGACATGTGGTTCCTGTCGGTGAGAATCCACTTCTTCCCTTGGGCTGACCCAGAAAGATGTAGGTGGTTGGGAGGTGTAGATGGTGACTGAGCACCTGCACTCTTTTCTTTCAGGAAAGCATGATCTTTGTCTGGGTCAGTGGAGTGTTGAAGGAGGGTGAGTGTGTGTAGACCCCCCCCTCCAGATGCCCCACTTGTCCCTCCTGCAGCCTGGGACCTCTCTCAGAACTCTCTCGACTTCCCTGACCCCTCCCCTTTTTTCCTGTTCCCTCTGTGTTCTCCTGCTTCCACTCTGCCCCGAACCCATCCTGCTCTGACCTGCACCCATGCCTGTCAGCCCCACACAGCTGAGCTCTTAGGGATACAAGTGTGGGTTTTGGTGGCTTTCATCCCTGATCCTTACTCTGAGACCTTGGGCTAGTTACACGGAACTCTTTTTTCCTCTTTTGCAAACTGGGGCTAATAATGCCCACCTCTTGGGTAGCTGCTAAAAATGAATCGAATGAACTTGTGAAGTGGTTGTCCCAGGGCATAGTAGGGTCCATGTTAGTGGGAGAAGATTGCACCTATCCTTGCCCTCCCCATTCCTGTCACCCTGACTCCCAGTGAACTGTTGTCCCCTTGGGCATGTGTGGAGTCCGACCCTTACTGAGGAATGCAGTGGGAGCTTGTGAAGCATTGTGACTCTTGAGGTGGAATTGTTAGTGTTGTTGAAGTGGAAGGACAGTCTCAGGGTTGTGTGTGTGCCTTCTCCCGAACCTTCATTGCTACCCCTGCCAGCAGTTCCAGGTGAGTGTTGTGCTCATGGTAGAAACTGGTAGCACAGCCCAGTGTCAAGGGTGTGGGTATGTGGCAGTGCAGATTTTTTTTTCATTATTGTGGAAAGTCAACAGGTAGATCCAAGAAACAGTCCAGCATTGGGGTTAAGAGTGTGAGCTCTGGAGTTAGAACACTGGGTTCTCTTCATGATACCAACACTAACTACATTTTTACTTTAGTGAAATGACATGACTTCTGTGACATTATGTGTTCCTCTGAAAATGGTTTTAGACTGTCCTCGTTCTTGGACTGTTTTTCAGAGTCATTGGAAGGGGGTTATATGTAAAAATCTAGTGAAAGTGGTAGACTTTCTCTCAAAGGGTAAGCTTAGTGGGAGTGGTGGAGCTTCCACGTAAGGAATCCAGTGGGTAAACTTAGTCACGTTAGGGAAGATCTGGATCCTTAGTGGTGATGGAAGTAGGATCATTGTTTAGGGTTCGGGTTTGTTTATTAGTCTGTTGTCTGTGGACACATTTTCCCTTCCAGTATGTACACCTTGAATGATGAGCTGTTTGTGAGAGATGCTACCACCAGGGAGACTCAGAGGACTTTCTCCATCCCCGTGCTCACATCCTCCTGCAGTTCTGAGACCACCCTCTCCCAGGAGCAACAAGATATGATGCTGCTTTTCTCTATCCAGTCTGGCATGAAACCACAGTGGTCTCAGAAGTGAGTATTGGATTTGCTCGAGGGTAGGAGGTAGATCACAGATTGTTTGGCTAAATAATGGGAACACATAGGTAATTTGGAGAAATATGCATTTGGATAGTTTTGCTTTCAAAAGTAGTAGGCCAATGAAAAAATAACCAAATTTTATATTGATATATGTAAAGTTTTTTTTTAACAGTGTAATAATCAGATGGCATGATCTTTTACTTGGAAATCCTAACAAATCCATTTGGAAAATATTAGAAAAGCTGAATGACTTTAGCAGTTTCAGGATACAAAATTAGTATCCAGAAATCAGTTTCATTTTTATATGTTGATGATGAACTAACAGAAAGGGAAATTAAGTAAACAGTTTTATACATAATTGCTTTATAAAGAATGAAATACCTTGGGTAAACCTAACCAAGGATATAAAAACCTGTACTCTGAAAATTATAAGACATTGAAGAAAGAAGTTAAAAAAGATATAAATAAGTGGAAGCATCTGCCATGTTCATGGATAGCAAGCATTCACATCATTAAAATGTCCCCATTACACAAAGCAATCTATAGATTCAATGCAATTCCTATCAAGATTCCAATGACACATTTCACAGAACTAGAACAAATATTTCAAAACTTTATGTGCAACCACAAAAGACCCCACATGGTAACAGCAATCCTGAGAAAGAAGAAAAAAATTGAGGGAATCACGCTACCTATTCTCAAACTGTACAACATGGCAATAGTAATCAAAACAGCCTGGTGCTGGCATGAAAATAGACACATAGGTCAATGTGACAGAATTGAAGGGCCTAAAAATAAACCCAAAATGTTATAGTCAGTTAATGTTCGACAGAGGAAGCAAGCACATATAATCGGCTAAATATAGTTTATTCAGTAAATGATGTTTGGGAAATTGGACAGATATGCAAAGAAAAATGGAAGTAGAACATCTTTTTACACCACACACAAGAATAAATTTAAAATGGTTCAAATACTTAAATATTAGACCCAAAACCATCAAAATGTTAGAAGAAAACATAGACAAATCTCAGATATTGCTTGTAGCAATGTTTTTTTTTTTTTTTGATATATGTTCCCTGGAAAGGGAAACAAAAGAAAAAATAAAGGGGACTACATCAAACAAAAAATCTTTTCACAGCAAAGGAAATGATCATTATCATCATCAACAACAACAACAAAAACAACCCACAGAATGGGAGAACATATTCACAAATACATCTGGTAAGAGGCTAATATCCAAAATTTATAAAGTACTTGGAACACTCAATAAAAAATCTGAACAACCCAATTAAAAATGCACAAAGAATCTGAATAAACAATTATCCAAGAAGGACATACAGATGGCCAATAGAGCTATGGAAAGATGCTCAGTGTCACTAACCAACAGAGAAATGCAAATTAAAACCACAATGAGATATCACCTCACGCTGCTCAGAATGTTTATCATCAGTAAATCAAAAAACAAGTGCTGGCAAAGTTGTGGGAAAAGGGGAACCATTTCGCATTGTTGGTGGGGATGCAGACTAGTGCAGCCACTGTGGAAAGCAGTATGGAGATACCACAAAAAAATAAAGATGGATCTGCCTTTCAACCCAGCTATTCTGCTTCTGGAAATATATCTGAAGGAACCTAAAACACTATTTCAAAAGAATATAAGCACCCTTGTATTCATTGCAGTGTTATTTACAATCACCAAGATATGGAAACAGCCCAATTGTCCATCAGTAGATGAGTGGATAAATCAACTGTGGGACATTTACACAATGGAATACTGCTTAGCCATAAAAAAAGAAAATTTTACCTTTTGTGACAGTATGGATGGGCCTGGAGAACATTATGCTAAGTGAAATAAGCCATTTAGAGAAAGACATGTACCCTATGATTTCACTCATATGTGGAATCTAATGAACAAACTGAACTATCAAGGAAAATGAGGACAGACTCATAGATGGAGAGCAGGATGACAACTAATGGGGCCGAGGTTAGGTTGTGGAGGGATTGATCAAAAAGGAAAAAGGGCTGGTGGGCATGGTGAACAGTGTGGTGATTTCTGGCAGCATGGGTTATGAGGGACTAAATGGTAATGGAAAAAATACCAGAAAGATAAAGAAGATCAATATAGAAAAATCATTTGCATTTCTTTGTCCTACAATGAGCAATCCTAAAATGAGATTAAGGAAATGATTTCATTTATAATAGAATAAAAATAATAAATACTTAGGAAGACTTAATGTAGTAAAAACCTTACATTTCAAAGTGTTTGAAATATAGTTTTTTTTAATTTTTTTAAGATTTTATTTCTTTTTAGAGAGAGTGGGAGGAAGGGAGAAAAAAAGAGAAACATCAATATGTGGTTGCCTCTTGTGCACCCCAAACTGGGGTTCTGGCCTGCAACTCAGGCATATGCCCTGACTGGGAATCAAAGTGAAGATATTTTGGTTTGCAGGCCAGCACTCAATCAATCCATTGAGCCACACCAGCCACAGCTAGATATTTTTTAAATGAATTAAAGAACACCTAAAAGTGGAAGGACATGCTGTGTTTTGGTTTTCAAGATGTGATATTGTTAAGATGGTAATACTATTCAGACTGGCCCAAAGATTCAATACCATTCTAATCAAAATCCTAAGCTGGCTCTTTTCAAGAAATTGATAAGGTCATCCATTCACATGGAAATGCAGTGGATTTAGAATACTACAAACAATATCAAACAGGAAGAATAAATTTGAAGGGCTCATGATTCTCAATCCTAAGAATTTCAAAGCTTACTGCAAAGTTATTTTAATCAAGACTGCATTATGAAATCTATATAATTTTTTAACTATTGTCATCTAGTAAATTCAATAAAAAAGAAAAAATACATTGTATGGTACTAATATTTTGGTAGAGATATAGATCAATACAATGGAATTGAGAGTTTAGAAATAAACCATAGCATTTATAGTCATTTGATTTTCAACTAGGTGTCAATTTTTTAAATTAAAAAAAAAACCTAGGCTTTTCAACAAATTGTGCTGGGACACCTCTGTATCTGCATGCAAAAAAATGAATTTTGACCATTACCAAACATTTTATTTAAATATTACTTAAAATGGCTCAAATACTTAAATGTAACATCTACAGCTATAAAAACTCTTAAGAAAAAACATATGTGTATATCTTCATGACCTTGAATTAGGCAGCAGTTTCTTAAATATGAGTCATAAACTACAAGCAACTAAAGAAACAAACAACTTTCACTTCATCAAAATAAAAATATTTTATGTGTTCAAAGACCCTATCAAGAAAGTGAAAATACAAGCAAACAATGGTAGAAAATATTTTCAAATCTCATATCTGGTAAGGTATACTTTCCAGAATATCTGGAGGACATTTACAACTCAACAATAAAGACAAACAACAACCTAATTTGAAAATGAGAAAATGATTTGAATAGATATTTCTCTAAAGATGATATGTTGAAAAACAAACACATGAAAATATATTCAGCATCATTAGAGAAATGCAAATAAAAAATGAGATACCACTTCACATACACTAAGACGGCTTTTAAGTGAAATAGAAGGTAAGTGTAGATGAGGATGTGGGAATATTAGAACTTTCATATATTACTGGTACAAATGCAAAATGAAGCACCCACTGCAGAAAACTTTTTGGAAGTTTCACAAAATGTTAAACATGGAGTTACCATATTTCTTAGTAATCCCACTCCTAAATATATGACAAGAGAAATAAAACATACATTCAAGCAAAAGCTTGTACAGGAAGGTTCATCGCAGTTTTCTTCCACTAGGAAACAACCCAGATGAACTGATTAAAAATATGGTACATTCATATAACAGCATATTATAAATTCATAAATAGAACACAGTTCTTACATACATCATGACATAGATAAACCCTGAGAATGTTACACTAAGTGAAAGAAGCCAGCCGCAAAAGCTCACATATTGTATGATTTTATTTACATGAAATGTCCAGTATAGGAAAATCCATAGGTACTGAAAACAAATTTGCAATTGCCAGGGTCTAGGGAAAGGGAAGGAATATGGAGTGATCTCTCATGCTTAAGGAGTTTTTGAGCTGATGAAAATATTTTGGAATTAGGTACTTGTAATGGTTACACATTTGTGTAATATACTAAAAAGCACTGAATTGTATACTTTGAAATGGCAAGCACTATGTTATGTGCACTATAGCGCAATAAAGTATAATTGAAAACTTGCATTTTTAGGTTTCCGTTTGTTATTTTTTCAACCATCTTTCTTTATCAACATTATTAAGCTCCTGCGTTCTTCTGAACACTTCTAGTTTTGTTTTGTATTCTAGTGGGTATGGATGCTAGTGACAGAGGTTTTGGTTTTCACTAGGCCTTTCCTCATCATTACACGTTGTGCTCTTTTCTGGCACATCTGTCCCAGCATAGATATAGCGACATAGACTTAGTGGTGGCATTGCCTGGTCTGAGTGTCTGCCCTGTGGTACTAAGGGAGATGACCTGTTCTCCCACTCCAGGTGCCTTCAGGACAATGAGTGGCACTACACCAGAGCTGCTCAGGTCTTCACTATGCTCAAGGTGAGGTCTGGGTCTCAAGTGGGTTATGATGAGTGTTTCTGGGCCTTTGGGAAGGCCAAGAAAGTGGAACCTGGTGCCCTGGAATGAAACTCAATGAGGGAACTGGCTCTTCTGACATCCCAACTCTTCCTCTGAAGATGAAGGGCATGATCCCAGAGGAGGCCTTCAAACAAATATCTTAAAAAGACCCCTCAGTTGTCATCTTTGCCTTCATCCCCGTAGTTCTGTTTTGTGTTTTCTCCAGCCTAAGGCCATACCCATGACTGGGCTGGTGGCCTGGCTGACCAAGAGGCTGAAGTTACTTTATAGGTCAGGTAACATAACCATCTGAAGGGTCATTTGTTTTGTTTATTTTCCCCATTCACAATTGCTGGTTTTGTTTTGTTGTTTTTTTCATAATAAAGAGTGATGTTACATATAGTATGTTGTATGTCTTGGATTGCTCTTCCCCTGCACAGCCATTAGCTAATGGGTGCAGGACTTAAAGGTCCTCCCTTCCCCACCTTCAACTCTGCCATTCACCTTGGCATTCCCTAGCAGTTATGTCAGGCTTGACTCCATAGGTAGTTTGTCAATAAATTCTGATAAGAAGGGACATAGATTACTTCCAGGGTCAGCCTTTGGAGACAGCATGACTCAGTCAGATGCTTTACCTAGAGGCCCACAGAAGCAGGCATGGGTCCTAGCACACAGGACTTTGCAATGGTTGCCTGCACAACATGGATAAACCTTAAAAGCATTAGTCTAAACGAAGGAAGTCACAAAGGACTACATGTTGTATGATTCCATATATATGAAACATTCAGAATATGAATATTCACAGACACAGAAAGTAGATTAGTGTTTGCCAGGGTCAGGAGCAAAGGGAAAAGAAGACATGACTGCTCAATAGATATAGGGTCTCCTTTTAGGGTTTTGAAAGTGTTCCTGGACTAGATAATGGTGATAGTTGTACAAAATTTGATTGTACTAAATGCCACTGAATTGTTCACTCAAAAATGGTAAAAAGAGTAAGTTTATGTTACATGATTTTTTCCACGATAAAAAAAAACACTGAAATGTGGATATATCCTGAAAATACTTTCCTGAGTGGAAAAAAAAAGCCATTTATATGAAATGTCCAGAACAGGTAAAGCAACAATGGCAAAAAGCAGATTTGTGGTTGCCAGGGCTTGGGTGGAGGGAGAATGAGATTAAGTGCTTAAGAGTGTGGGGTTTGATGGTTTACAACATTGTGGACATACTTAATGAGACTGCATTATACACTTTTAAATGGTTAAAATTGTGAATTTTATGTTGTCTATGCTTTACCATAATCTTTAAAAATCCACAGTGGAGTCTTTTAAAAATTATATGGATTTTTATGACTCTAATATACTTACTGTAGAAGTGAAAAATACTGAAGAATATGACACCACAGGGGGGAAGAAAACCTTCATAATCCAGATCATGAGCACAATCATGACTGTTGATTTTTGCTTTTCTTTGCAATACTCTTTCCTTACATAATTTAATTATAATAAATTAAATTTATCATAATTTAACATCATTTCAGAGGATATATTTTTTAGTTGGCATCATTTGTTTGGAGTTTTTTCTATATCACTAAAATCTTTCAACAAATTTGTAAAACAAATTTCAAAATACTACAAATAAACAAACAGGAAAATAGTTGAAACAAGCAATGGAAGAGGAAGAAGCTTTTGCAAGAAGAGGCAAGAAAGTATGTTTTCAAAATGGGAGAAATAACAGCATAGTTTATGTTTCAGGAAAGATAACATATAATGAAATCTACTTTGTGAAGATGTATGTGTACATACACACACACACACACACATACACACACACACACACACACACACACACATTGATAAAATCCTAGAAGGATCCCTATAAAAGGTTAGGATATGCAATATGTTTTTTTATTTGCTTATTTTTTAATTGTTGTTCAATTACAGTTGTCCCCATTTTCTCTCCATCAATCTCCCCTGCCCTACCCACCCCACCTCATACATTCAATCCTTCCCTGCCTTAGTCTTTGTTAATGTACACTTGTCTCTATTTTTCCACCACCACTTTTCACCCTCCACCTCCCTACCTTCCACACTCAATCATTCCTCCCTTTGGCTTTGTCCATGGGTCCTTTATACATGTTCCTTGATGACCCTTCCCATTCTTTGCCCCATTTCCCCCTCAACTTCCCTCTGGCTACTCAGTTTGTTCTTTATTTCCATGTTTCTGACTATATTTTGCTTGGTTTGTTGTTTTTTTGAATAGGTTCTAAGTAAAATTGAGGTCATATGGTATTTGGCTTTCACTGCCTGGCTTATGTCACTTAGCATAATGCTCTCCAGTTCCATCCATGTTGTCCTGAAGGGTAGAAGTTCCTTCTTCCTTTCTGCTGTGTACTTTTCCATTATGTAAGTGTACCACAGTTTTTTGATCCGTTCATTTACTGATGGGCACTCAGACTGTTTCCAGCAGTGGGCTATTGTTAATAATGCTGCTATGAACATTGGAGTGCAGAGGATCTTTTGAATTGGTGTTTCAGGGTTCTCAGGGTATAATATAATCCCAGTAGTGGAATTTCTAGGTCATAAGGCAGTTCCATTTTTAGTTCTCTTAGGAAATTCCATACTGTTCTCCAAAATGGCTGCACCAGTCTACATTCCCAACAACAGTATACTAGGGTTCCCTTTTCTCTACAGCCTCACCAGCACTTGTTTGTTGATTCTGTTATGATGGCCAACTGTATGCAATAAAGTGGTATCTTATTGTGGTTTTAATTTGAATCTCTCTGATGGCTAGTGATGCTGAGCATCCTTTCATATGTCTCTGGGCCCTCTGTATATTCTCTGTGGAGAAGTGTCTGTTCAAGTCCTTACCCATTTTATAATTGGATTATTTTTCTTCCTGGAATGGAATTATGTAAGTTTTTTTATATATATATTTGGAGATCAAACCCTTGTCTGAGGAATCATTGGAAAATACATTTTCCTATATGTTTGGTTCCCTTTTCATTTTGCTAATGTTTTCTTTAGTTGTGCAGAAGCATTTAAATGTGATGAAGTCCCATTTACTTATACCTTCATGTCCCTTGCTCTAGGGGACATATCACTGAAAATATTGCTGCGTGGAATATCTGAAATTTCCTTGCCTATGGTCTACTCAAGGACCTTTATGGTGTCGTGACTTACACTTAAGTCTTTTATCCATCTTGATTTTATTTTTGTGTAAGGTGCAAGTTGGTAGTCGAGGTCCATTATTTTGCATGTAGCTAGCTGTCCAGATATCACAACCCCATTTGTTAAAGAGGCTATTTTTACTCCATTTTCAGCTACTGCCCTCTTTGTTTAATATTAACTGACCATACAAACATGGGTTTATTTCTGTGCTCTCTATTCTGTTCCGCTGACCTATGTCTCTGCTCTTATGTTAGTACCAGACTGTTTTGATTACAGTGGCCTTGTAATACAGTTTGATATCAGGTATTGTGATCCCTCCTACTTTGTTCTTTAATCTCAAAATTGCTGAGGCTTTTCAGGGTTTTTATGGTTCCTTACACATTTTTCAAATGCTTGCTCTATATCTGTGAAATGCATCATTGGTATATTAATAGGGATTGTGTTGAATCTATAAATTGTTTTAGGTAGTATGGACATTTTGATGATGTTAATTCTTTCAATCCATGAACATGATATATGCTTTTATTTGTTTGTGTCTTTCTTGATTTATTTCTTCAGTGTTGTGTAGTTTTCAGAGTACAGATATTTTACCTCCTTGGTTAGGTTTATTCCTACATACTTTATTTTTCTTCTTGGTATAACAGATGGGATTTTTCCTGATTTCTGTTTCTGATATTTCATTGTTGGTGTACAAAAAATACCTTCAATTTCTGAATATTGAGTTTGTATCCCGCCATTTTGCCAAATTCACTTCTTAGGTTGAGTAGTTTTTTCACAGAGTCTATAGGGTTTTCTATGTATACTATCATATCATCTGCAAATAATGACAGTTTTTCTTCCTCCTTTCCAATTTGGATGCCTTTTTATTTCTTTTTCTTCTCTAATCACTGTGGCTAGGACTTCCAGTAATATGTTGAATAGGAGTGGTGAAAGCAGACAGCTTTGTCCTGTTCCTGATCTTGGTGGAAAAGGTTATTGCTTTTCCCCACTGAGTATGATGTTGGCTGTAAGTTTCTCAATATGGCCTTTATTGTATTGAGGTGTGCTCCCCTCTACTCTCACTTTGCTAGGTGTTGTTATCATAATTGGATGCTGTACCTTATCAAATGCTTTCTCTGTATCTATTAATATGATCATGTGGTTTTTGTCTTTCCTTTTGTTTATGTGATGTATTACATTCATTGATTTGTGGATATTGTACCATCCTTGCATCCCTGGGATGAATACCACTTAATCATAGTATATGATCTTTTTCATGTATTGGTGGATGTGGGTTGCCAATATTTTGTTGAGGATTTTAGTGTCTTTTTTCATCAGCAATATTGACATGTAGTTGTCTTTCTTTGTTGTTTCTTTATTTGGTTTTGGGATTAGGATGATGCTGGCTTCATAAAAAGAGTTTAGAAGTTTTCCTTCATCTTGGATTTTTTAGAACATTCAGCAGAGGATAGGGATTATTTGTTTCTTAAATATTTTGTAAAATTCTCCTGTGAAGTCGTGTGGTCCAGGGATATTTTGTGCTGGGGGTTTTTTCAATACTGCTTCTATTTCATCAGCTGTTATTGGTTTGTTCAGACTTTCAGTTTCTTGATTCAGTTGTGGAATTTATATGTTTCTAGAAATTTGTACATTTTACTCAGATTTCCAAAAATTTTGCCATATAGGTGTTCACAGTAATTTCTTACAATCCTTTGTATTTCTGTGATATCAGTTGTCTTCTGTCCTTTTCATTTCTAATTTTATTTATTTGTGTCCTCACTCCTTTTTTTTTTTGATGAGTCTACTTAAAGGCTTGTTTATTTCATCTTTTCAAAAAACAGCTCCTGGATTTATTAATCCTTAGAATTGTGCTTTTAGTTTCTGTCATTGAATTCTGTTCTGATCTTGTTTATTTCCGTCCTTCTACTTGCTGTGGGCTTTTATGTTGTTGTTGTAGTCGTTCCTTCAGTTCTTGTAGATGTAAGGTTAGGTTGTTTATTTGAAATATTTCTACCTTT